GGGGGGGGGGGGATGCCACGAGTGCGGTTCTCCAGCGCGCTGACGACGCTCGGCTTTGAGGTGAGAATGTTAAGGGGATGTCAGAATGCTGTAAAACAGTAATCGCTTTTACGTCGTCTAAACTAAACCAATCAGAAAGTGCTTTTGCTTAAAGTACTTATTGAAACACACTGCGCAGATATAATCTTTTAATCGAAATCGAAAAAAAAATGTTTAAGTTAACTGTTTGCTAACACAATTCATAGGTTATACAAAATTTTTTCGATGCAGATAAAGAAAAGAAAATATCTGTGCGGTACAAAATGTTCTAAAGAATAATGTCCAATCTTTAGAAATAGGTTTAGAAGCTTCAGAAAAGCACAATTTGTCATGAAAAATTGCTATTACTTATTGCTAAAACAGAGCAGTTTAGACGTGCATAATAGATCACGGATACTGCGCTAGCGGCACTAGTGCTACAATTGGTCGCTATGGATATATTCGAAGACTCGCTAGTAGCGCTATTACGTGCTTATTAGCGTTAGAGCCGCTACAGACTTCTATATAACTACTAGACTGCTAACTGCCTTATATAGGCTGCGTTCGGCGAGACTTTATTTAGCGCTATGAGCGTTCCCAGCAAACACAATGTTACATGTAACGTACATGTTAGTTGTAATTTCCTACTCAACAATATAACTGTTACAATATAACACGCATGTTATATGGGTGTATATCAGTTGGACACGGGGTAATTGGACACAGTCCAATCACAAGTCGCTGTTCCAAGGGACCCTACAAATGTCTCTAATCACACGGTGCTGTGATTGGCTGTGTCCAAATGCACCGTGTCCAAGTGCACCGCTCCCTGTTATATAACAGTTATATTGTTGAGTAGGAAATTACAACTAACATGTACGTTACATGTAACATTGTGTTTACTGTGTTACGTCCACGATAAATAACTACACAGGGACATTTGAAAGTAGTGAAATCAGTGACTTACATGGACGGTCAACAGAGTGATGAATCCGTTTTTGGGTCAATCTGCTTTTCACCGAGTTTACCCTAAGTCTCCGGAGTCTGGAGAAACGATCGATGAATCTGGCGAGAAATCAGCGCTGCTCGTTCTCCTGACTCGGTCTCGGATGTTCCGGCGCTGCCCGCGATTCCGAATTTCGATTTCGCAACGTTCGATTTTTCGAACGTTCATTTTTGAAGGGTAGGCAAAAGTGATTGCAACACAGTCGGATTTAACGACTAATATATTCCAAATAAGTACACGAGAATGACCAGAGACTAATTATGAGAAGAAATAATCGCCTTCTCAACAAATGCGCGCGTTTTTATATGTCGCTTTGTCGCTAAGAGTCGTTTGCTGATTGGCTGATGGAGTCGTGGAGATGGAAGAGATTCATTCCATCGGTACGATGTCACCGCGTCGATATCGCCGGTCCTGAGTGGTGTTTGGATTCAGTTTTCATGCTCCTGTTTATGTTAGCAGCGGAACGCCTTATCGCATTGAGCGATTACGGTTTCTCTTGTCTACAGTTGATCCATCGATTTTAAGACTCTCTAACGACACGCAGTGTTCAGCGTTATAATTTTAATTATAATATTTAACGTGCGCGAAAATATACATATGCGCACGTACTTACGTCTAGTAACATAGGTATAAAATATCTAGTAATGTCTGAAATCAAACAAGTCGGCCTCCGATCTATATTAATATATTATTAATGTTTCAAAATAAGTCCGGACGTTACAGCTAGGTTCTTTGTCCTTGTTCAACTTTCGGGAACAAACAAGGACAGAACACACTCATAACAGTAAATAGCGTCTCCCCGAACGCAGTACTATGTAAAATTGACCCCGAACAGTATGTATTACATACGGGAAAAAAGCATCTGCGCATGCCTGAAACTGGTGTTCCAGAAGAAGAAATTACACGACAAAATCCATAAAAAGGGAGGGAATACCGTTGGTACCAGCGAAAACCCCTAGATAGCTCAAATTAAATTTCTGTGGATTAGTAAAACTGAATAAGTAGTAATATATGTTGGTTAGCCGAAACCTTGACGTAAGTATATATGTAGCTTATATACGTGTGACGTTTTGACATAAGCGTGTCGTCGGACATATGTTTGCACGTCACGTATGTGAAGTAATAAATATTTAATAAATGTGTATATTTAATAAATACATGTGTATATTTAATAAATACATTGTAACATGTAACTAAAATCAAAATAAAGGTAATTATTTAGAAGACGGGCCTCACCTTCAATTTCGTTGAAACTCACCTATCTTATGTATTTCGATGCGTAGAAGCCGAATCTGAAAGTTCGGCGCTTGGCTCTACAAACCGAGAAATTAATTATTAAAGATGCTAGTATGTTTATATAAAGTCTGATAAAACAAGTACTGCAATATCGAATGACGAGTGGGGGGCTGCGCCCTAAAAAAAACCCAAAACTAACCCAACCCAACCTGCCGTTACATTGTTATATATTGAAACATTAATGTTTTTACTACATTAATACTAATATTATAACGTTTATTGCCAAAACACTATGTTGCATTATAAAATCTACTAATTTTTCCTTATTGAATCTGTGTAAAATATTTGCCTATATCCACTTAATAAAAATATTTAAATTAAGAATATTTTTAACATTTTTATCATTTGTAACACGCGAAAAATATCGAACGACGAGTGGGGGCTGCGCCCCCCACACTCTCCCTAAAAACTAACCTAACCTAACCTATCGTCACATTAGCCTCAATCATTGTTTATTAAAAAATTATTAAGAAAAAAAGTTGAACACTAATAAACAATGACTGACGGGTAATGTGACGATAGGTTGGGTTAGATTAGTTTTTAGGAGGTGCGAGAGCAGCCCCCCGCTTGTCGTTCGATATTGCAGTACTTACTGTACCAATACAGAAAAGGCAACTCTACGAACAAACTTTACGTTGCAATGACAGGTTTTCTAACCTATCATACCTAGCATCTTTAACAATTAATTTCTCGGTTTGTAGAGCGACGATTTTAACTTTCAGATTTTTCTACGCATCGAAATACATAAGATAGGTGAGTTTCAGCGAAATCGAAGGTGAGATCCGTCTTCTAAATAATTACCCAAAATAAACATAACTTCCACAATAACAAGATAAAAACAATAACAAGAAGAAAACTTATAATATATATATATATATATATATATATATATATATATATATATATATATATATATATAGGGTGCGGCGCCAAAATCCAAACAAATTATACATTTTTTTCCAAACATATTTTTTATTGCAAAAACAAAAAAGTTTACAAAATTTTTTTAACCACATTGTTTGTAAGGCCATAAAAAACACATTTACTCAATATATCTCCCGCTTACTTGAATGACCGCCTCCATTCTCGGTCTGAAGCGTGCGTAGGCGCGCTTTAATGTGTCACGATCCATATCGGTCAATGCCGCTTCAATAGCGGCCCTCAATAATGTGACGTTTGGATGTCTGGACTTGTTCGTGACCCTTTCAACTACGCTCCATACATAGAAGTCCAAAGTACTCAAATCTGGGCTGTTGGAAGGCCAGAATTCTTTCGACCAAAACATGTCGACGTTGTCCGACAACCAATTTTGCACCAAATGACTTGTATGGGCGGGCGCACCGTCCTGTTGGAAAACATATGGCTTTCCAGACGATACAGTTTCCATCCACGGCTTCACTACATTTGTCAGAACACGCAAATAAACTTCTTTTGTAACATTTTCCCCTTTGTTAAAGAAATGCTGTGGCATGACATCACCCTCACTGGATGATGTTGCAAAACTTTCATTGAACTTCTCAGACTCATTGTACTTTGCGATGACATCATACACAGTCGATCTCGGGTACCCGAAGAACCGAATGATTTCTGTCGCCGAGCGCCCAGCGCGAACACTTTCGATAATCGCGGCTCTTCGGTTATACTCCGCACTTGGTTTCAACATTGCGACTGTTTCGAGGTTATGATGGTTTAGTACATGCGTCAAGCTATTTGAACGCTAATCGCGACATCTACCAGTGGTATAGAACGGCAAGAATTTCAAATTGAATTTTGTCCAGATTTTGGCGCCGCACCCTGTATATATACAGGGTGACCCATTTTAATTTAGGCAGCCAAATAACTCGAAAAATAAGCACACTACGAAAAAATGTTTAGAATCAAAATTTCGTCATTTCGAGGAGGACGTACAATGACGTTAAAATTAGCCCCCCCACCCCTCCCCCTGGGCGGTGAGGGGGGGCAAGTTTGAAATCTTAAATGGGAACCCCTATTTTTTATTGCATATTCGGAATCTTTGGCTAAAAACATATACAATTTGTCTGAAACATTTTTCTCGATTCATGATAGATGGCGCTGTAATCGACGAAATTCAATTTCTTCGATTTCTCTTACTGAGAACCCATGCTTACGATTCTGCAATAAATTAACAATAAAAATACCACGTTTTCATTGTTAATA